CCACATCATGTTGTAGTAACTAAAGCCATACCTGACAGAAAGACTTTACCTGAGGTAAGAGTTGGGAGTCCTCATTGTGGACTCAGCCCCTTCCTGTGACCTTGAGGTCCTCTTTAGAAGAGTGATTTACCTAGTAGGTTGTAGTCAGGAATACTTTTGAAAATGAGGTAGCATGTAAACATAGGATTAGGAGTAAGTTACATGTCTTTCACATTAGAACCAGGTTCCAGGTACAGATACACACACACACACACACACACACACACACACACACACACACACACACACACACAAATATGAAAAAGAAGTGTAGGTAACAGAAGGAAACTGAACTCAGAAATGCTGCAGCTGTCACTGTTACATGACACACGAAAATCCAGATACATGGTGGGTGGTGGTGGTACATACCTTTGATCCTACCACTCAGGAGGCAGAGGCAGGCAGATCTCTGTGAGATCAAGGCCAGCCTAGTCTACAGAGCAAGTTCCAGGACTGCCAGGGCTACACAGAAAAACCCTGTCTTGAAAAACAAAACACAAAGCACACACACACACACACACACACACACACACACACACACACACACACAAAAGCAAGCAAAAAACCCCAGATGCACACAAATATAGAACCCGAGACCTTCGGTATCAGATTAACTGCCCCTTCTCCTCATTTTGTGATAAGCAGCTAGGCCAGTGGAGGAAATCATACCTCATGGTCACAGAGCTGGCTAATTGCACCCATGGGAGCTAAACATTTTGTGTTCTTTTTGCTATAAACTGTTACTGTGAAGTTTTAAAAATGGCTTTCGTAAGGTATGTCTTAAAAGTCACATTGTTCACTTATTTCAAGAATACAAGTTTCCCCCTCAGCTTATTTCCCAAGCTATGCAACCATGACTATCAGTCAGTTTCAGCACATTTCTCTACACCTCATACGATGCATAATGTTTTCCTCACATGCTTCTTTCCTAGAATCTAGGCTGTACTAGTCTGTTTCTTGTCTTTACACGTTTGGGTTTTCTGGACATTTCACATAGCAAGAATGTCACAACATGTATTCCCTGTGCCTGTCTTCTTCAGTTAACACGGTTTTAGATTCATCCATGGAGTATGCATCAATGATTAATTCAGTTTTACTTCTCATTAGTATTTCTTTGTATCAAATATTCACACATCAGTTGGTTGCTACTCAGGTTGTTCTCACTTTGGGCTATTAGAAATAATATTCTAATAATGTTCATATATTATTATCTCTTCAGCCCACTAACTCTTTCCCCCACATTGGAGCTACATTTTCTATTAGGTGTGGCCTGGTCTATCCTTTTCCTCCAGGGTTAGCAGTGGTGGTTTCCTCCCAGATAGTAACTCAGGTTATGAATGCTGTAATAAATAACTGTAGAAGATTAAATGAGCCATTAAAGAAAAGGCTTCTCCATCTAGTAATAGCATTTTATTCTGTGATGATTTATGACAAACTGTTAGCCAAATAATGATTGGAATTTATAATATAACAAAATAACAAAACAACTCGTAAGGTACATTTTATATTATACTAGCTGCTATCGAGTTAATTTTAAACATGAAAAAAAAACTATAGAGATGGGTCAGTGGTTAACAGCACTGGCTGTTCTTCTGGAGAACTCAGGGTTGATAACCAGCACTCACAGGGTAACTCACAACTATAATTCCAGTTAGGAGATCTGATTTTCTCTCCTAGTTTCTGTGGGTACTGAATGCATGTGGTACAAAGAAATATATGCAAACAAACCACCCATACACATAAAATAAAGGTAAAAAAGTAAGAAAAAATTAAAAGGCTCATGTGATTTTTATCCTAAAGTAGCCTTGTGAATAGATTTAAGTCTGTGTGAGACACGGTGCACCTTATGAGTCTGTTAAAAGGAAGGCAGTCATTTCTGGTTCTTTTCCCCTACATAGTTAAGGACAACATTTGTCCTTTGGTGTTCATAGAAGTAATTTAATTGCACCCCTAAAAAATAAGGTCAGTTATTGGATATGGTTGAAATAGACAAGATATTGAAGACATTGTTCCAAGACCTAAAATAATAACATTGATGATGATGATGATTTTAGTTGGGTGTGGTGGCATATACCTGTAACCCAAGAATTCCAGAGCTGAAGCAGAAGCATTGAAATTTCAAGGTCTTCATGGGTTATATAGTGGTACTCAGAAGGAAGGGAGAGATTGAGATTCTCTAGCTACCATTCTCTTCTAAGTCACCAGCACATTCACTGTTCTAAAGTTGTACAGTTCTATAGTAATTTCACATCTGTTCTCCTTTTGACTTCACTTTGAGCTATGGGTGGTTCTCTAGAAACCACCCATAGTGGACCCTATTACATGGTAGTACAAGATTCTTTCCAATTCAATTCTGATTTGTTGCTTTCTCATTTTCACACTTGTAAACAGACTCTCATCACATTGCGCTATTTACTACCTCTTGAATACCCCACGTCCCTTGGTTCCCTGTGTTTCTGCTATGCCATCCTTTTGTATCATTACATTTGGAGGATGACTCCATCTGTAGTCAGCCATATGCAATATGTATTATCTCTCCTGTAGTAATGCTCCCCTTTCCTTTGTCTTGGCAGAATTCATTACGTTCTTTTGGCAACTTTGCTAGTTTGGTAATGCACTGTAAACACATTACCTGAATGATCTTCACTTAGTGCTGACTTTTCTGAGTTTTTCTTTATCTGGGATATGTTTTTGCCTTCCAGGGGAATTTTATGAAATATTAACACCAAACTGTGATCTATAAAAATTTAATTGTTTGGTGTTAATAATAGACACAATAAGAAATGGACACAAGCTTATACTTGTGGTCATTCCTTATGATCTTCTTGACTTTGAGTTCAACAGTCCTTTGTATCCTAACTGCCTAGCCCATGTCCCAATACATATAAAATTGGAGTGAACCATTGGAAAAATTATCATTTTTCAGATTTGAATTTGCACTTTTCTCTAGGTACTAAGTGATAAAATAATCGTGTGTGTGTGTGTGTGTGTGTGTGTGTGTGTGTGTGTGTGTGTGTGTGTGTGTGACTATCTGTGTATATGTAAGTATGTGAGTGTGGCTGTGTGTATATGTGACTATATGAGTATGACTGTGTGTGTGTGTGTGTGTGTGTGTGTGTGTGAGAGAGTGAGTGTAGAGGCCAGAGGTTAATGGTGATGTTTTCCTTAGTTACTCTACTTTTTGAGACAGTGTCTCTCACTGAACCTGAAATTCACTGATCTGGCCAGACTGGTTGACCAGCAGGCCCAGGGATCCTATTGTCACTGTCTCCTCAGAGATGTATTGCAGGTATGTGCTGTGGCACCTGAGTTTTTACATGACTTCCAGAGATCCAAACTGAGGTCCCTGTGTTCACCCACAGACATTTTACTAACTGAGCCGTCTCCCTAGTTCTTAAGTGATATAATAATTTCATCGTTAAGTCCTAGCCATCTTTCTCTGAATTCACCAATAGATCTTTCAAAGAGCCATGGAGGATGTAACATATCAAAGGTAGGCTTTCTCAGTATTGTCTGAGATGTACCTATCACACACTGACTTCTGAAAATGTTTCTTAGAAATACATTATCAAGGGGCTGGAGAGATGGCTCAGAGGTTAAGAGCACTGGCTGCTCTTCCAGAGGTTCTGAGTTCAATTCCCAGCAACCTCATGGTGGCTCACACCATCTATAATGTGGTCTGGTAGCATATATACAAGCAGGACACTGTGTACATAATAAATAAATAAATCTTTTAAAAAAAGAAATATATAATCAAATTTGAAGAATGGAAGAAGAAGAAGATGACAGACAAAGAAGCCAGACAAATGAATGAAAACAGTAGAAAAACCATACGTGCTAATTTTATAGAAATAGCAATTAGTGCTATGAGCAACCATATGCCATGCATCTGGATAACTTAGACAAAATGGAAAAATTCTTATAAATAATCAGGTGAAACCCAAGGTTCTTTTAATGACCCAATGAGCCAGCCTTTAAAAAAAATATTTGATTTGTAACTGTATGTATGTGCAAGCACATATGTGTTTATGTGTATATGCCGACAGTGCCCACAGAGGCCCTAAAGGGGTATCAGATCCCCAGAAGCTGGAGTTAAAGGAGATTGTCACTTATAGGAGTTCCCTGAGTTCCCTGAGTTCCCTGCAGGAACAGTGCAGAGCCATCCCTCTAGCCCCAAAGAAATTAAGTTTGGACCTAAGTCAGTAACTTGTTTACAAAGAAAGAGCCAGGGCCATATGGCTTCACTGGTGAATTCCTTCAAACATTTAAATAAGAAAATCCACACTGTGAGCTAGAGGTGCACCCTTCTCTTAGGGAGAAGAAGTTCACCTCTGACCCCACATCAGCAGCTCACAGCACCAGGGATCCAGAGATGTATACATATATAGTGTAGTCTTTATATAAGTGTAAGCCTCAAAGAGATCCCAAAAGTATTAATTATGGACCCTATAGCTGACCTCCGGACAGAACTCCTAAGGGTAGGATCTGGAGACTTTGACTGAAGAAGACCCCCTACCAAGTTGTTCTTAAAAACTGGATTCTGGAAACCTTAAAGGACAGAGAACTTCTGTATTAAATGCTAAGAGTTCTCGAATTTGACCCCTGCAGAACTATTCCTTGGTTAAGAAGTTATTGTTTTGCGTCAACTTGCCTTCTCTCCTGTGAAGAAATTTCATGTCCTTTTTGGGTGCTAATAAAAGGAAGATCACAATGCCATAGAAATTTATAGTTTTATATTTTCTATTTAAAATACTGTTCTAATGTGGAACGTCTAAAGACATGGAAAAATAACTTCATTGAGTCCCCTGAAAATATGGCTAGTGCTAGGACCCAGCGGAATTCAGCAACTTGAGTTGGAGATGAAACATCTCAGGGGTGTGGTGCAGTTCTAAGCAGGTACAGAAAAGCCAGTTTTTCCACATGTGTACTACACTGACTCTGTTGCAGGTCTCTCCCAAAGCATCTCCAGGATTTTAGCAGGCATGTTTCTGGCAAAGGCAATCCTGGAAGGGGCAGATCGGGGTCTTGGGGGGGCCCTTGGAGGACTTCTTGAAGGAGGCGGCCAGGGAAGAGGAGGTGGAGGCAACATCGGAGGGATCATTGGAGGAATTGTCAATTTTATCAGCGAGGCTGTTGCAGCTCAGTATGTCCCAGAGCCGCCTCCCCAGCAGCAGCGGCATTTCACTACCGTGGAGGCCTCAGAAAGTGAGGAAGTCAGGCGGTTTCGGCACCAGTTTGCACAGCTGGCTGGACCCGACATGGAGGTGGGTGCCCATGACCTGATGAATATTCTCAACAAAGTTCTTTCTAAGCACAAGGATTTGAAGACCGATGGCTTCAGCCTTGACACTTGCAGGAGCATTGTATCTGTCATGGACAGTGACACGACAGGGAAGTTGGGCTTTGAGGAGTTTAAATACCTGTGGAACAACATCAAGAAATGGCAGTGCGTTTTCAAGAATTGTGACAGCAACCATTCGGGCTCTCTTAGAGGCTCCCAGCTGCACAGGGCTGTGCAGGCTGCAGGCTTCCAGCTAAACGAGCAACTTTACCAAATGGTTGTCCGCCGGTATACTAGCGATGATGGCAGTATGGATTTTAACAACTTCATCAGCTGCCTGGTCCGTCTGGACGCCATGTTTCGCTCATTCAAGTCCCTGGACCGTGATGCGGATGGCCTGATTCAGGTGTCCCTCCGAGAGTGGCTGCAGCTGACCATGTATTCCTGAAGTGGAGGCAGAGAGGGTGAGACCCGCTGTGGAGGACAGGACAGTAGAAAGTCTTGCTGTGTGCACCACAACTCACATTCCAACCCAACAGCACTATTTCCTGGGGAGGGCGGGGGTCTTGTGTAATGCTGTATGTTGCTGAATAGCTACACTATACTGCTTAATTAAAACTAATTTTGGACAAAAAGTCTTCTGAGTGGTTTGTCCAGAGACAAATGTAGAGACATGTATATGTGACAAGGAGATACTGGTTGACTTGGAAAGGTTGTTACTTATTGGTGAATGGATTTTTGCATTGCTTACAATCCTGGAATAAATCAAGAACACATCAGTGGGTAGATTTTTTCCCCCCTTGAGAAGTTGAGAAGGAAAGGTTAAATTATGACTCTGTTCTATTCAAAATTTCACATCTTGTCTTTGTAGCATAAAGAAGTATACTTTCCAGAGAGCTTACTGTATTGTATAACAATGGGTTCAAAATGTGAGAGTAGGCAATTTTATCTAGGGGTACCATTTTATAAAAATAGAGAGCACCCACCTAAAAGTCTAGAGTCCTTTAGCTGTTTTCTAGTGAGACAAACAGAATCAAGGACTGGGAATGATAAAAAAGGTATTCCTGTTGTTCAAAATGTCTTTAGCTTGCCTAATGAGCCCAGATGATCACTCTTATGTTTACTTGGTACAAAATCAGGCACACCCGGGTGATGTTAGCCAGCTCCTGTCCCATCTTGCCCTACCTGAGATCAAGGAAAATTCTTTTGCTTATCTTTGGAAACAGCAGGCAGGGGGTGGGGAGGAGGGGGGGAGGGGGGAGGGGTACACGACAGGCAAAGCACGTAATTAGCAATCAGTGAAGTGGGATATGAAACATCTAGACAACAGATATTGCTGACTTTTCTTGCAGTGGTTTGAGGTCCTGGTTGCAATTTAGCATTGCAGGAATAAGTGACTGACCCCTACTCCAGATGAAGTGAGTCTCTTCAGGTTGAGCTAATGCTGAGTGAGCTGAAGGACTTAAACGCTTTAGATTATGCCTGTCTCCCAGTGGTTTTCAAGTCTGTCTGTCTCAGCCAGAGCTGCCAAGCAGGTGAGTCAGTGCTGCCTCCTTTCAAGAAAGGGAAAATAGGAATAGGAAGAACCTGCCACCATGTCTTTCTGATATATAGCTCTTAACCTGATTTTATTTTTTGGTACAAGCTGTTTGTTACAACTAAGTAAGCAAAACCCAGGACCATAAGAGGCTTGGTTGCAACTTTGTTCATCCATTCCACAGTCTTCAGTATTTTTCACTCTCTGTGATGTTTACTGCATTCTTTCCATTCTGGGCCCCTTAGGAGAGTCCTTCTGATGTAGCTGTCCTCTTAGCAGGCCTGGAGCTCATGTCAGAAAGCCTCAGTGATGTCCGGAGAGGATGGCATTTGGCCACTGTGTACACCATCACCACCATCATTTAGTATTTATGAACTACCACACACATAATTCTGAACTGAGCCAAGCATCGAGATCACATCTACTTTGTTAAAGGAATATGTAGTTTAACTTGGTCTGATAGTCTGCTTAGACCAGCTGTGGGTATGTTAGCAGTGCCAGCAACCACACATTCATATCAGCCTCACTATTGTAGAATAAATCCAGGAGAACATCAGACACGGAGTGGGAAAGTAGCCAGCAAAGGGAGAAAACTGCCAAGATGTCTGTCAGGACTCAGAATATGTTTCTGATTTGATTTCCACATTGTGGTTGTGGAAAGGACAATGCAGAGCTTATATTTTCACTCCAAATTTCATCACAAATGTCATATAAAAGTTAAGGCTGTCATCACATCCTAGAAGTGGCAATAAGTATTTCCCTCATTCCTCCAGCTAAGGAATACCCATCTCACAATTCTCTTCTAACAAGTACGTGAACAATATCCAGAAACCACCCAAGTTTCTCTTCTGTTGTCTTCTATATTCATATAAATTGTATCTAAATAACCCCAGTCACTATCACAGATACTAGAAAAAGCAAATCGTTGGCTATTATATAGAACCAACAGCTCGAACAATGACTGGTTTTCATTCAGTATTTAACTTTTAAAGTTTCATTTCAAGGTTAGAGAAAGTATTAATTTGCAAACTAAAAAAAAAAAAATGTGCCATGTCACTGGGCATGGAGTCACATGTCTGATCTTACACTTGAGACAAAGGCCTGGGGTCAGGAGTTCAAGTCCAGCCTTGACTATGTAGTTAGTGAACTTAGACCAGCTTTAGTTACCCAAGACCCTATCTCATCCCCTATAATACCCAAGCAAAAAATTATCCATTTCCATATGGAAAACTACTTACAGATTCATCCACTCCATCATCAGCGAGGCACTGACATTAAATACAATCAAGGTAGTAAGCTGATAACGAGAAGAATATATGAAATTGTATTGCCTACAAATTGACACTTCAAGAAAGCTGCATATAACTTTAAAGATAACTTTATCTTGTTGCATCCACTACAATCAAATGTGCTGTATATACAAATGCAAGAAACTTCCAAAAAAACATTCATAATGTGTATCTCATCTTGAAGGTCACTTTAGGAATGTATTTTAGTTTTAATGCTTTACTTTCATAGGAGCCCCCTACTGAATGTGATTTGAATTTGAGAATTATTATTTGAAAGTGCTTATATATAATGCTAAGTGTATTAGCATAGTTTAATTACAGTAAAATTGGCAGTATTCTCATGTAGATGGTAGAGATATACTCTCAGTTGGAATATCCAAGTAATTGGAACGCTTGTCCTTGACTTTTTATTTTAAAACTGAGACAAACAATGTTAGTGTTTCTCAGGACAAGGTATGTCATCAGAGGTGAAGATTTAAGGCAGACAAGTAGATTGTGTTTTATGGTAATGTTTTGAATGTTACTCTCATTCACAAAAATTATATCAATCATTACACAACAAAGAGAAAAAGAAAAAATATCCTTTGGAATTAACCCATGTAAGATGCATTCAAAATCATATCCTTAAGTCTTGTAAGACTGAAAACCTTACTTTAAAAAATCTTATTCTAAATGGTAAAATATATTAAACACATTAAATTGTGAAACAGCCTTGACAAACTGATGCCTGAGAATCAGGCTATTTATTCCTCCTGAGATTTTTTTTAAAATTTATTTTCATGTGTTTGAATGTTTTATGGTGTGTATGTCTAATGCACCATATGTGTGTAGTACCTACAGAGGCCAGAAGAAGGCATCAGATAACTGCCATGTAGGTCCTGGGAATTGAACCTGGGTCCTCTGGAAGAGCAGCTAGTTCTCTTAACTGTCCCCTCCTGAGATTTTAAACAGCTAATACAAGGACAAGTTACCTGGACTTCCCATTTCTCATAGAAGCCAGGGCATGGGTAATAGGTGCTGGATAACTGGACTCACTCTGACTCCTTCTTTACTCTTTTTCAACTCTACTGACCTCCAAGAAAGGGACAAAACCCACAGCTGGAGCTCACTGAAGCTTGGCCATGCTTCTTTTGCAATGGCTCAGTGTAACTCCTTGATGCTAACTCTGAACTATTTCTCAGCTCTGCCTTGGCAAGGGATATGGAGAAATGACTAAGTCCTTCCATTGAATGGTTTATTTCTTCATTTACATGTAGCTATGAAATAAATTTTAAGACCAGGTGCTATCATTAAGTTTATAATTCTCCCTGGGGAAATTTTAAGGAAACTACCATAGATTTATGGAACAATTTCTTTACATCACAAAACTTACTTGAAAATATGAAAATTAAAAGAATGTGTGTTATCATATAACTTTTGGCCCATTTAAAAATGTACTCCATCACAGTGTTAAATTTGAATGATTGATGGTCAAATTACTTGGATGTAATTGCAGTTATAGAAACAGTGGGTTTTATTAACTTGAAATGAAATGCTTGTCTTGGTTTCATTAGTAGTTTCTACAATTCCTTCCAGTTCTAAATTTTATTATACTGATTTAGGAGCCTCACTAGTGTGTTATTAATCCAATAAAATAATCTCTCCAAGTAATTTCCATACTGATTCTCCCTCCTTCACATACTAGAAAGAAAAATTACATGTTCTTCCTCATGTGAGTCAAGGGTCTGCCATAATATAATCACATCAATCATTAAAAAAAAATGTTCATTGAAGAATGCTTAGCCATCATGTAGTAATGTAAATTTTGGTGCTAGCTCATTGCCTTGTTCCTAGTGGTAATAGGAAGGGGTCTGTTACGTTTTCATTTCTGCAAAAAAGAGATGTGGTGCTTGCTTGACCCATGTTGCACACAGGATTGATGGTGTCATGAGGACTGATTATTCGTGACTCCTGTATTGCTCAGGGAAAGTCAAGTGCATAGGAAGCTTACCTATGTTGAGCCATTTCCCTATGATTCAGTAAGCTCCTCAGGGTCTAGGGTTCATGGCAAACCACTGTATATAGCATGTAAGGAATTAAATGGTGATGGCAAGGAGCATATTGTGTTCCTTGATACATTGTCTTCTTTGAAGTGTCCATGGTGGTTCACTGTGGCGGTGATGACCTGGTGTATGTGGTATCAGTTAGACACTTCAAGTAGATGCATCCAGCATCTACAACAATAAAAAAAAAAATAGTTATTCTCAAGATGGTTTCTAGGTAAATAGACAAGTTGAATGACTTTAGGTTTTGTCTTAGAAATAAACCCTAATACTTAGGGGAAATCTTAAAATCTCTGTTTCTGCTTTTTCTGGTGGGAACACGAAATTAAATTATTATTCCTTTTAGTTTCCGCCCTGCAGTAAGATAAAGTAATATGAAGACAATGATTTGGCTTTTTGAGGTTTGGCTCTTGAGAGGCAGATGAAAACTTCCCTAGAAACTGTGTGTACTGAGAATGATCTGCCATTTTGGGGGCTTTTACAGACTCTCCCCTTTCTCTAGTGTGCCTGCTGATGGTGTGTAGATGAAGATCCATGCATGATGATGTCAAGTGTCCTTTGCTAACCGGTGAAATTTAGTATTGCTTTGACCTCTCTGTCCCTGGTACATAGTTTATCAGGAGATTCATTACTTGAGGGTTGTGCTGCCAAA